TTCAGTTATATCATTTGTTGGTCACTTTTATTTTAACTGTGTCGACTGTTATTGGGCTTACCTAGCGGGTTGGGTTAGGTGTCATCACGACTAGTTGAATTTTGGGTCGTGACATTGATGATATTCTTACGTGGTTAATTCTACATAAAATTAAAAAGAAGATAAACTTTTAGAAAAATGCTTTCATTATAGTTACAAAATTTAAATAAGGAAAAAACTACACGAGTGAAATTTTATTCAATTTTAGATTCCTAAATATTAGGAGTTTCTACATAGTTAGGAAGAATTTAATGAAAAAAATTTAGTATATTTTAAAGTCCTAAATATTAAGAAAATAAGTAAATTTACAATTACAAGTTTGTCCTATGTGAAACCTATTTTTAAAGGGTAAAAAAAGTGAATGATATTGTTAAATGGCTTCGTGCTTTAATATGGTATAAATTAATTGTGATCTCAAATTTTAATTCTATTTAAGGGTTGTCTACTGATTCTAGGTGTGCACCAAGCAATGTAAATAATTTAACTTATTTTGAGTATACTAATAATTATAATTATTGTTTTAAACATAATTTAGCTTTTATCATTATCTTTCTTTCTAGAATAAATTTTGTTGGATTTAAATATTACCAATCTAACAAAATTCTTCGTATGATAACTTTATCCAATAACATAGATCTCTTATTGTTTTTCATATTTTCCAATTTGAGTTCAATAGGAATAAGATGAATTTCATATTATGTACTTGAGCAAATATTGTTTTTAAGGTCATGAGAACGGAATATTGTTGCATGATATTTGAATACAAGTCAACATATTGTTCTATTCTGTCTGATATACTAAAGTAAATGCACAACTCATATATCGAAATTATAGGAAGACATTAGAATACTCTTGTGTGACATAAATTTTTCCTTTATTAAGTTGGCTAAATAGGCTGAATAGCTATCATTCAAGATAACTTGTACCTTTTAAAATTTATATTTTATAACTCAATTACATAATTAATAATATTCGTTTAATTTTTCTCATATTTAAATTCATCAATATGGGTTACACATGCAACGCGCGTACTCTAAAGGTAGCACTTGTAAAAACATTCTAGATTTTAAATTTTTTATGAGTTTTTTTTTAATCTTTTCAATTTTTTTAAACTTTTAATGTACATTTTATATTTTTTGTGTTACTAGTCTCTAAGCACGTGCATTGCACGTGAACCCCTACCAATCATTACAACATTAAAAAGGAAATATTACAAATTTACCACGAGGCAATTGAAGCTACATTATGTCATGAGCATGATTCTACTTTAGTGGCTTAATACTTAATTTTAAATGTCATTTGAACCAGTAAAGGTATCAACAATTAAATTAAGTCAGTAAAATGTTATTTATAATTTTGACAATTTCATGTTATGAGTTATAAATATATTACTTCGTTTATCTCGTATGCCATGATATTTTGATTTAAATTTCTTTCTACCCTTTTGGTTATTCTATCCATAGCGAAATTGTATCGAAATTAATATTCCTCTTAATAGGAAGTGTTGTTCAAATAAATAAATAAAAAACCTGCTCCAAAAAATAAAGTCCAAGTTAGGATCTAATTATTTGTAAACATGCCAAACTTAATGGAGTATATGATAGACCAAGAAATGTAAAACAATACTTTATCATAAACTCTTTCAACCAATCAAAGATCAGGCATAAGCCCGATCACACAAAAATCCGGGAGAAATTCAAAAATAGCCAGATTTACAAGTGGTCACTCAAAAATAGTCACGCTTTCAAAAGAAATCGAAATTTAGCCACTTTTCATGTAAAGATAAATCTGAGCGAAAATACTGTTCAAAACACGGAAAATACGCCAGTATATTATGCTGGAACTTTCCGTGTGTTGGAGTGAAGTTCATACACAGGTGCACCAAACTCCAGTATATTATGCTGGACCGGTCTCTGTTGCAGCAAAATAGTGGTTATTTTTCAATGACTTGATAAATGCTGGCTATTTTTGAGTGACCAGCCCGAAAACTGGCCAGCCCGTGCTATCACTACTAGAAATCCGGTAAAAAGCGACCACAAAAAGCGACCAAAGTTGGTCTCTTATAGGCCTAAAAGCGACCAAAAAGCGACCAAACATGCCTGGTCGTTGTATTGCTGGTCCCTTTAGTTTAGGGACCAAAGTTGGTCGCTAAATAGCGACCAACTTTAGTCTCTAAGGTAAAAGGACCAAATATTCGGATAAAGACTATAGCGACCAACTTTGGTCGCTTTTTTATTTTAATAATATAATTTTTGCGACCAAAGTTGGTCTCTAAACGTAAAATACGTTTTTTATTTATTTATTATTAATCATAAAAAAGCGACCAACTTTGGTCTCTAATTCAAATATTATATTTTAAAATCTGGAAAATAGAGACCAAGGTTGGTCGCTTTTTTACTAATTTTTTTTAAAAAATTAGCGACAAAAGTTGGTCGCTAAATTCAAGAATTTAATTTTTTTCCAAACATTGTTTTTTTGAATACATCAACTTTTATTGAGATGAAAGAAAATATTATTTGGTCGTTTTATCAAATTACATTAAAAAAAAACAGAAATCATATTTTTTTTCAACTAAAAATTCTTTCATCTAAATTAATTCAAATAAAATTTTCTGATGGTTAAACTAAAATTCTAAAATTTCGGTTTTTTCAAAAACATTTTTGCAAAAACTGAAAGAAGAATTTTGGACAACATTCTCTTCATAATAAACGCCCCCCTTAATTAATTGCATAAGGCTATTAATAATTTAATATGACAAAAAGCAGATATAATAAATACTCATCATTTAGTGCTAAAATAGAATATATCAAAAATGACAACCGAAATCTCTATGTTGCTGAAGTTCTCATTGGCTCTACACTTTTGGATGGGTGTATTTTGCTTGTTTGTTGCATTTATAGTGGAATTTTTGGTTTTCGGATTGGTAATGAGGACCCTTGAATTTTGATATAATCTACGGTGCAGGATTCACTATAAGCAATCCAGGTCATTTTGAATTGACCAATGGGAAGGGAGGGTTAGTTTGAATTTTGGTAAAAGCATAATCTTCTCGCCTGGAAAGGATAAGCTTTTCCCAATGTGATTTTCTTTTACATAATTAATAATTTAATATAGGTAAGGGAAAACTCCAATTTCATTAAGATATAAATAAAGGTTACTGAATACTAATAAATCAATTACTTTGTGGCCTCGTGAACATTTTTCAGAATTTTATTAGCTTTTTGCTCTTCTGGTTCAGATACTTAGTTTATAGTATAGTGTAAGTATATATATATATATATATATATATTTGATATAATATTAGCTAATGCACTGATACTTAGTGTATAGTATAGTGTAAGTATATATATATAAAAGCTATATTCGATATAATATTAGCTAATGTACTGATACTTAGTGCATAGTATAGTATATGTTAGTATGTGTATATATATAACACACACACTTCGTGCTACTTTAACTACATATATAGCATGTTATATATAGTACATGATACTGTATTCATTATTTGTATTGTAACAGAGTTAATGAATTACATTCATTTATCACTAGGTTATAAGTCGATGATTCAATTTACATATATATATATATATATATATATATAAAACACACGCTTCGTTGTACTACTTTAACTACATATATAGCATGTTACAGTATATTTTAGTGTATTCATCCCTTGTATTACAAAAATGTTAACGGATTACATTTATATTATTAAGATAGTAAATACAAAAGTGATATTTAATTTTGACCAATGTTGACCTAAAAAGAGATCAACTTTGGTCGCTAATTATCCAAAAATTCAAATTAGCGAACAAAATTGGTCGCTAAATACTCAGAAAATTAAAGTTAGCGACCAACGTTGGTCGCTACGTTTAAATAGATTTATTTATATTNCCAGATTAGCGACCAAAGTTGGTCTCTATCTGCTTCCCCTTTAGTTAGCGACCAACTTTGGTCGCTAACTTTGAATTATATTTATTTATATTTTATAATTTTTTTAAATAATAAAATAATTATTAAAATTTTATAACTGGGTCCCAGATTAGCGACCAAAGTTGGTCTCTATCTGCTTCCCCTTTCGTGAGAGACCAACTTTGGTCCCTAATTTTGAATTATATTTATTTATATTTTATAATTTTTTAAAATAATAATATAATTATTAAAATTTTATTAGTGGGTCCCACTTTAGCGACCAAAGTTGGTCGCTAATTTTAGTATTTCTTTGACCAAGCAAGTCTGACCAGTCCGGTCAATATTTTAACCAAATTGGCGACCAACTTTGGTCGCTAATGTATTTAAAATAATTATTTAATTATTTTCTCCAATATAGCGACCAACGTTGGTCGCTTTTCTTGACTGACCAATTTTGGTCGCCAACTTTTGGTGCTTTTTTCCAGATTTTTAGTAGTGTTTGTGAGGACCATGATAAGGTGGCTCACAAGTCATAACTTAAGTCTAAATCTCCTCTCAATTGCTATCTTATCTTATTATTGCTAAAGATTGAAAGACTATAAGGCGGGAGAGAAGGCCGAACAACCAATCAACTTATACTTTTATTTATGCAGAAAAGTTGCAATTGACTACGATGATTATCAAAGAAAATGCACCAAAAACATATAGATATAGGCACAACAGAAAGATAACTAATGTTTGTACAAAAAGATTATTTGCACGTGATCTTTGCATCAAAGTAAAAATAATCCTTTGTAGTTCTTTATACTTGAGATTATGCTATATTATTAATTTATAGATTAACAATTTTAAAAATCCATGAGGTTACATCAAGTAAAACTTGAAGAAAAAGAAACTGCTCGCTAAAACGGTTTATGTAGTTAATAGTCTCAATTGATATCACCGTTAATTACTCTGTGGCTCTCCACCATTTTCTCTTTTTTCAACATATTGCAAAACTGTCAATAGTATTGTGCACTTGGTTGGTTATAGTGTAAGATCCTCTTTCTACGTCCACTGAAAGCCGCCAACATTTTCTTCTCTCTCTCTCTCTACAGTAATCCTACTGACCTGCCGCTGCTCATCGGAAACCTGCTCATCCTCCACCGGCGGTCTCCACCGGTAGACCTCAGTTGTAGCATTATACGAAATTTTTCTTCTTATAATCTTTTTTTGTTATGTGCTGAAATGTTGCATGGTTGTGCCTTTGTGAAATGCTTTATCGTTAAATTCTTTTTTTTTTTGTTTAACCATTGAACCTCACTTGCTCGACCAATTTGGATTCGTGTAACGAAAGGGAAACATCTCTTTATCACAAGTTCTCTCTATTCTAGGGTTTGAATTCGAAACCTCTAATTAAGAATGGAGGGATTTCGACAATCTCACAAAGTACACTAATTGGTGGTTAATGTTGCATGTTTGTTGTGCCTTACGTGAAATGCGATATGGTTAAATTCTACTTGCAATTGAATATGCTTCTTCTTTCTTTTTTTTTGGGAGGGTGGTAATTGCTTTTATTAGGAACTTATTGAACATGAGATAATGAGAAAATTATTTTGTCAATTGCTGATTAGATGGTGCCTTATTGAATTTGCTACATAACATGGTATAGGCGTTTAAAAACTTCGATTTATTCTCAACAAGAAGAGATATGCTAATACATGCTTAGTTATCAATTTGCTTCAACATTCTTTTCCTTTATCAAATGCAATGTCATCTCCATGATAAAAATGGAAAAAAAGATTTTGGACAATAAGTCAATTATAAGGTAATTATTGGCAAATCTTGTTTATAAGCATTTGTAGATAACCTGATAAAAATGGTGTGATTAACATGTTATCATATGTTTAACCAACCCAATCATGCAAGAAAAATTGAAACTGCCAGTATATAACTTAAATAGACTTGGAAATGCAGGGATAGAAAATGGGGGAAGGGGAAGAAGGACACGGTTCGTCGACTGCTGGAGGAATAAGGAGAAGAGGATGTACACTTTCAAAGGATGATTTTCTGCCAGAGGAATCATTCAAGAGCTGGGGAAATTATGTAAATGCGTTGAGTAATACACCAGCTCGGCTTTATGATCGAGTTGTGACACGTTCTGATGAGCAAGAAGAGATGGATGCCAAGGCAAGAAGTGTTAACCAAATGAAGAGGAGCTTGAATTGGTGGGATCTCATGTGGTTTGGTTTAGGTGCACTTGTTGGTGCTGGAATATTTGTTCTTACTGGTCTTGAAGCTCGTACTGATGCTGGTCCAGCAGTTGTCCTAGCTTATGTTATTTCTGGGGTCTCAGCTATGTTAGCTGTCTTTTGCTACACTGAGTTTGCTGTGGAGATTCCAGTGGCAGGTATGTAAAGTCACCTATCTGTATTTTGCTAACTAGTAAAAGAATATTTACTTTATCAGGTCATCGAAGATAAAAAGGCACGATTAGTAACTTGGAAAATAAGACAGATTATCTCTATAGTAGCTTAAAATACATTGATTCTGTAAAAAAATCTTTGCACTATCATGTATGTATATAAGAAAATCCGTTTTTTAATGTACATTAGTTACTTAAACTCTTGATGAGCGATATCCATCTTCAATACCTTTTGATTAGACTTTGTCCATATCCTTTTGACACTCGTTCACCTTACCTTTTATTCTGGTAAATTGTGGTGCTTAATGATTTATGAGCCCTGTGGGATCATCCCTCTCCTTGATTTCCTAATAAGTTTTTGTAATAGTTGAAAGTATCCTAAAACCACGAATAAAGAAAATTAACTATAACATCTCAGAACTTTTTGTAAATTAGGTGAACTAAAGAGAAAGAACTTAATTCCCTGAAGTGCAATATTACTGATTAACCAATCTTCATGTTTATAACCTCCATTTGCCAAGAAACCCATATATTTATTTATCTCCCTCCAGACATGCTTAACAGTTACCACATTGACTTGTAGCAAAAATCTACAATCAATAACTGTCCTAAAGGGATGATCTTCTTTCGATCATAAGTTCCACAGTAAGTAGACAATCTGTGTCCACGTTTAACTCTTTGTATTCATTTTCTTTTGCCAATTTAAGATCTTGTTTTAATACTCGCCCTGTTGAGGTTAGATGTAGCTTCTTTTCTGGATATGTCGACATGCAGTTTTCATGATCATCTCCAAAGACACTGTGAAAAGCAATATCTCCAGTTTTATTCTGAACAATCCCATATGAGCACATTTATACGTACACTTCCACACTCACTTTCCATTAGAATTTTTGCAGCAAGCAAGTCAAAAGTTTCAGAACTGTACAGAGTTGCAGTTAAAAGACAAACATTTCGCCTGTATACTGGTATTGTAGCCACAAGCCACGATATGGGCAGGGGCGAGTGTTTGAGCACCAATCTTATAATTCTTTTCTGACATAAAGTGCAATTTTGAGGAAGGTACCTTGAGATTGAGAGAATGGGAAAGAAAAGAAATGGAAGGGATATGAACCTTCATTCATTAATTAGAGAACACTATTTTTTTCTATTCTTATCTTCTTCTTGATTTGTTGACAATGATTTCTCCAACTTGTTTCATAAATATGCAATTTTTTCTTCTTCTTATGCTCAAATGCTTTCGTTATGTCAATTAAGTTTATGAAACAAAATTCTCATACAAAAGGTTTAACATCTTTGATAGGTGGTTCATTTGCTTACTTAAGGGTGGAGCTCGGCGACTTTGTAGCATTTATAGCAGCTGGTAACATACTTCTTGAATATGTGATTGGTTCAGCCGCAATGGCTCGCTCATGGACTTCCTATTTTGCCACTCTTTGTGGCCGCCAACCTGACGATTTCCGGATCGTGGTAAATTCTCTAGCAGAAGGCTACAATCGCCTTGATCCAATAGCCATCGGTGTTTGCATTATAATTTCCATCATTGCATGTAATAGCACCAAAGCTTCTTCTAGGATCAACTATATTGCATCAGTTGTTCATGTCCTAATCCTCCTCTTCATCATTGTTGCTGGTTTAATCCATGCGGATACCAAAAACTTCACCCCCTTTATGCCATTTGGTCCTCGTGGTGTATTCAAAGCATCGGCTGTATTGTTCTTCGCTTATACTGGTTTTGATGCTGTTTCAACTATGGCCGAGGAAACCAAGAATCCTGCTAGGGACATCCCTATTGGCCTAGTTGGTTCTGTTTTATTGACCACTGTGTTGTATTGTGCATTGGCTGCTGTTCTTTGTCTTATGCAATCGTACAAGAATATCGATGTCAACGCCCCGTTTTCAGTTGCATTTGAGGCTGTTGGTTTAGGCTGGGGAAAGTATGTGGTTGCTGCAGGTGCATTAAAAGGGATGACCTCTGTTTTGCTAGTGAACTGTGTAGGCCAAGCTCGTTATCTAACGCACATTTCCAGAACTCACATGATGCCCCCTTGGTTTTCTTATGTAAATACAAAATCAGGAACACCAGCCAATGCCACTATATTCATGATGACATCTAGTGCACTTCTTGCATTATTTACAAGTCTTGATATTCTTTCAAACCTTTTGTCTATCTCCACACTCTTTATCTTCATTCTTGTGGCACTTGCTCTTCTTGTTCGACGTTACTATGTCACTAACGTGACCACTAAAGAGAATCGAAACAAGCTCCTCGTGTTACTTGCACTCATTGTGGCATCATCTATTGGCACTGCTACTATTTGGGGTGTTACAGATGATTGGAAAGGATATTGTGTCACATTGCCAATATGGTTCTTGGCAACTGCTGGAATATCAATTTTGGTGCCAAAAGCTAGGAGTCCAAAGGTATGGGGTGTACCTTTGGTACCATGGGTACCATCTGCATCCATTGCCATAAATTTCTTTCTTCTAGCTTCCATGGATAAGGATTCTTTTATACGGTTCGCGGTTTGGACTGTCCTTTTGTTGGTATATTATGTGCTCTTGGGGTTGCATGCCTCTTATGACACTGCCAAGGAGCTTGAGAAGAATGCAGAATGGGGAAAAGTTGAAGGAGGAAATGCTTCTTCACTTACAAATGCTGGAGATACCAAAAGTGAGCCAAGTAAATAAATTAGGCTCTATTTAGCATTTCATAATTTTGTTCTATCCAATTCTTTTATTTTTTTAATTTTCTTTTCGGTTGAATTTCTAGCCTACATGTTGAATTTTTTTTACATCTGAGAATTTGGATTAGGTGAAACGGTGCTATAGTTTTTTCCTGTAAATTTGAATTGTATAGAAAAAAAAATTGTGTTCTATAAGAGATCTATGGCTCATTCATCTTTCTTCCTTCTTTATTTCACTCAAACAATCGTTAAAATAGCACGGTATAGACAGTTTTCGGACTGGTCATTTAAAAATAGCCAGCGTTTACCAAGTCAATGAAAAATAGCCACTATTTTGCTGCAGCAGAGATCGGTCCAGCATAATATACTGGAGTTCGGTGCACCTGTGTAAGAACTCCAGCATATTATGCTGGACCGGTATACTTGCTGGAACTCCAGTATATTATGCTGGAGTTCTAGTGTACTTATACTGGAACTCCATCATATTATGCTGAAGTTCCAGCATACTTATCTTGGAACTCCAGTATAATATGCTGGAGTTCAAGTATACTTATGCTGGAACTCCAGCATAATATACTGGCGTATTTTTCCAGGTTTTGAACAGTGTTTTCGCTCAAATTTATCTTTACATGAAAAGTGGCTAAATATCGACTACTTTTGAAACTGGGTTATTTTTGAACGACCAGTTGTAAATCTGGCTATTTTTGAATTTCACCCCAAACAATCCTTAAAAGTCTTATAATCTTAAAAAATGAATAAATAAAACGGTTATTTTACAGAAAGTAAAGGACATCTAGTAATACTAGAATGCTATTTGATCAATAATGTATTTCAGGAAGAAATTCAAAATAGCCAGATTTACCACTGGTCGTTGAAAAATAGCCAAGTTTCAAAAGTCATCGAAATTTAGCCACTTTAAATCTGAGCGAAAACACTGTTCAAAATCGGGAAAAATACGCCCGCAAATTTTACGGGAGTTCCAGCATAAGTATGCTTGAACTCCCGTAAATTTTACAGGAGTTCCAGGATAACTATGCTGGAACTCCCGCAAATTTTACGGGAGTTCAAGCATAATTATGCTGGAACTCCCGCAAATTTTACGGGAGTTCCAGCAAGTATAATTGTCCAGTATAATATACTGGAGTTTGGAGCACTGTTGCTCCAGTCTCCCGCAAATTTTACAGGAGTTAGCAAAGTATACCGGTCCAGCATAATATGCTGGAGTTCGTACACAAATGCACCAGAACTCCCGTATATTATACTGGACCGGTCCCTGTTGCAGCAAAATAGTGGCTATTTTTCATTGACTTGATAAACGCTGGCTATTTTTCATTGACCAGTGTGAAAACTGGCTATACCATGATATTTCGCCTGTATTTCATCCTAAAATTTCATATTTACTACGGGTAAACTTCAATTCATATATGCATGGCCCAGATAATAATTATACAGATAGCCTATTTTGTATGCAGAGGCGTTATTTGGACATAAGAATTGTATAATTCGAAAAAATTGTGAAAATTTTTTCAAGTGAAAATGGTATTTGAAATTTAGAGTTGTGTTTGGACATAAATTTCAGCTTGGCTTGTTTTTGAAGTTTTGTGAGTGATTTGAGTGAAAATTTTGAAAACTAGCTTTTTGCAGTTTTTCAAATTTTCAAAAATTTCCAAAATGCTTGTTCAAGTGAAAATTGAAAATTTTATGAACAAACGCTGATTTCGAAAAAAAGTGAAATTTTTTTGGAAAAATCATCCATCAAATTTTATGTCCAAACGGGCACTTAACCTACATATAAATATTACTTTCCAAAGGTAATTAAAATTTAATACAGTTTTTTTTTTTTTTGGTCTAGACATATTTGTTATCCTTACTTTGGATGTAACATTTAATATGATTATTATAGAGGACTCATTTTTGCTTATTTAAATGCTTGATTCTAATGCGTACGGTCACTTGTGTTGTTCAAATACTTCAATTTCTTTGTTCTTTTATGTTTACGAGCCAAGATTGATTAAGCTCATATTTCTTTTCCGATTTTGAGATATTTGTTTTATTGACAACTCCTAAAAATAAACGGAGCATGTCATTTAGGTTCTGCATCCTATATTGAAAGTGTTTAGGAGTTATATGCTTATTCGTTTTAATTACTAAAGTTTGATTAAGCTTGAACGTACATATGAATATAATTTCATCATTAAAATAACGAAAGGATACAATTATCATGTACGATGGAGAAAATTTCTGACATAAAAATATTCGAATAAATTACGATGTTTGCCCATTTGTTCAAGTATTGCGTGCTAAAGATAAGATTGGCTTACCAAAAAAATTATCGGTAGCTCTCACTCATTGATTGATTGACTGACTTGAATTAATATGCAAAGGAAAAAGGGAGGGGGAGGGGGCAAAAAAAGTCAATTTTTCTGTTTGTATGAAAAAAACCACGAACACAGTATTACATCACCGTTTATCTAGTCTCAGGGTACTTGCTTTGAGCGTGTACCCATATCAATGAATATATATAATTTTTAAAAAATTAAATAAATATTATTAGATAATTTCACCTCAATTTTCCGTTACCGGGAAGAAAATCTGTTTAGTGATGTGTGCTAGTGAATATTTTTGGAAAAGTTTGAAATTCTTTTCCAAAATAGAGCCCAAAGCTAGCCGAACAATGAACAACATCATCATATGCTTTTACGCAAATCAAATACAAACAGCAAGTGCACATGCACTTCGCTTTAAAAAGATATATTCATCTACCCCAAAATCTATGATTTATTAAAAGAAAAAAAAAAGAATTTAGGACTTACCCAAAATTTTCAATTTTTGAAGAAATACACAGCTAAGTGGGTTGTTATAGATGAGAGAAAGTTTTGAGCCCAAAAATAAGTGAGAAAGAAAAATGGAGGTCATTTTCTTCAATCAAGTTTTCAAAAGGTCTTTTTAGCAATTCTTCTCCTGATTCTTCATGCTTACAGCATGCGTAAGTCCTATATAGAAGTTTATATATATGTAGTTTTTTAATTGATTTTAAAATTTAAATTTTAGAACAATAATTAAATGACTATTTGTCTAATGCGAAGTCAATTTATATAAGGTAAAAAAGACGAATAACATTTCGCTAATTAAAGGTTTCGTGCTTATAGTATAGATAGATAGATATTACAGATATCTAACACAATCGTATCACTTCTAAAGTAATTACAAGTAAATCTTTATAACAAATATCAATTGGTAAACTAATAATTATAATAACTAGCCTTCAATAACAGGTAAGTTACACCTATAACATAAAAATCTTAATCCGTATAGGACTTTACATTGATATATTTCTGTATCTGCTCCTGTTTGAGAGTATTCCACATTTTCAAGAACAATCATTTTATGATGTTTACTTAATTAAGTTCAAAATGACAATATTTCCTTGGTTGAACATCTTGTTCATACACCCAAACAATTTTAAAGATCTTATTATTTTAAATTTTAAAAGTAAAGGAAAATGTTATTCCTTAGAAATTAGAAAGTACAGAATAACTGGTAATTAACTTTTACAACGTTATTTAATACAACAAAATGCAAGTCGTCCTAAATTCAATCTATAGGAGTAAATGTGGGGCTATACATCGATATATTTCTATTTCTACTTCTTTTGGAGATTTTTCCAAATTTTCATGGTCTTTTTATGAGCCTTCATTGTCAAATCGCTGTCTTTATTAGCCGTTTATTTAAGTCAATTGACTTGGTGGGCGTTTGGACATAAGAATTGTAAAATTCCTAAAAAAAAGTTTTGAAATTTTTTGTCAAGTGAAAATGGTATTTGAAAATTAGAGTTGTGTTTGGACATGAATATAATTTTGGATTGTTTTTGAATTTTGTGAATGATCTGAGGAAAAATTTTGAAAAACAGCTTTTTGGAGTTTTTCAAATTTTTGAAAAATTTCAAATTCATCTTCAAATGAAAATTAAAAATTTTATAGCCAAATACTGATTTCGAAGAAAAGTGAAAAAATTCTTATGTCCAAACGGGTTCTTAGTCATCGATTGATTACTTGCAATACTTTATAAAGGCAAATTCCATTTTCTTTCTCACTAAGTTAATTCAGAGGCTACTCCATTTGCTGTAAGTTTAGCTAATTTACCTTCATTTTATACGGCATGAGCAAATTTAATTCATTCGGCAAGCCAACACTATGAAAGTAAAATAACAGAATTTATAGACAGTCCATTTCTTTTAATATTGTCCTTTTTTAACCTCTGAAAGCATACCTTACATTTTAACACTCAACATTTACCATTCAATTTTCAAATTCCCAATAAACCTCTTGAAGGTGCAACTTATTTGGAAGTTGAGACTTGAGATAACTTAATTAATCAGGTGGTCAAAACAATTGATATACTTGGCAAGAGCAGTAAATATGTAAAGTGATGAAAACTTCTTGATAAGTAGTATTTTATCGTTTTGGTGGTCGTTTGGTAGGGTGTATAAGAATAGTATTGAATAGGTGTATTAGTAATGATGAATTTAGTTATGGTGAAAATAGTTATACTGGGAATAGTTATGCTGGAGAATTATTTCTTACCGACAGTTTGGTTTGGTATATTAAAGGTTTTAAAGGTAGTTATGTTTTTATACATGCTTATCCATGTATTAAAAACATGGTATTACTAATGCCATGGTTTGCTATATATAAGAATAAAACTTAATAGGGTGTGTTCAGGGGCAGATCTAGGAATTTAGGAGGATGGGTGCGCACTATTATAAAGCGGTGGATCCGGAATATAAATTTTAGGGATTTAATCTTTAGTCTACTATTGTATCCATTACACTTTTGGAATTAAAAGTTAAAATTTAATATTTATATAATAATTTTCTTACATCTATATCTTTATTCTTTACTCCCTATCGAAAATATTGGGATCAGTTGAATCCATTGACTATATGCTACATCATTCCCTGCTACTAGTTTTAATATGCACATTTCATTTAATCATATAAAATTTTATGGTAACAAAAGAATAATAGAAATTTCAATGCGTGAAATTTTAAAGAATAAATCAAACAGAGAAAGAAAGAAAAAGAAGAAATAATTAATATGCAAAAAGTGACACATGACATGTCCATCTCCCGTGGGCGCCTAGTTCTAAAAAATTAAATAAGATTGACATGAGATTTGAACTCATAATCCACTCAGAGAAGTGCATCCAATAATCATCGC